CCGTTTTGGGTGACGCCACAGGCACACACACTGTGGATGGGCGAACACTCGTGCGCCCCTCGATTTGCGTTTGGGGTGACGCCACAGGCACACACACTGTGGATGGGCGAACACTCATGCGCCCCTCAGTTTGTTTGCTCTTGTGGATGGGCGAACACTGATGCACCCCTCAGTTTGTTTGCCTTTCCTCCGTTATATATTTCCGAAAACCAGTGTAAAAAATCGTGAGGGGCGAGGTCCCTGCACACCTGGATGCTGAGTTTCTGAGCGTAGGTTAGACAGATCAATGGCCAGAAACAAAGGATCCAGGTAAGTGGGACCTCGCCACAGCAATGTTTGTTCCAAATTTTCTGACAGTAATGTTGTTTGAAATAGCAACGCGGGTTCCTGTCACCCCCACACCTTGAACCACGCACCTGAACACGCATGATTTTCACAGCCGACAATCACCACCTTCTTTCCCCGAACATAATGTCCGGGGGTTTGGTCCCACTACCCTAGCATTGCTCCTGCATCCGGTAATGGGGACCGCCCTGTTGTGCTACATTCCTTGCCACAGCCAGTTTCCATGGATCGTAGGGCAAGGCCATTCTCTCCATTTTCACGTTGGCTTATTGAGGCAGGCGGTGAACTCGGTGCTTCCCCATTGGCTGCACATGTTCACCTTCTTTTGTCGAAGGTGGTCTGTGAGCCCTCCTCTCTGGGGTGGTGCACATCAAGCGAAGGGGGGGGGGGGCAGTCCCATTTCAGATACGGCGGTGATGAACCAAAAATAAAAAGGGAGAGGGCAAAAACCGTGCGTCACCAGATGGCCACGGTCTGTTCGAGAAAGGAAAGCCTTCACCATCGGGCCTCTCTGCACTGCTCTCCAAAGGTGGAATTCGACAATGAACATTCCGCAAGAACATGGAAAGATGCACTTCCAGATGTTTTGTCTTTTGTGAATGTAGAGCTCAGTCCCCATTAATTCATACCCCATACCCATTAATTCATTGTCTACCCCGTGGGCGCGGGGAACACAGCCCTAAGGTTGCGAAAGCAATGAGACTAAGAGGGCACACAAAAGAGAGAGAGAGAGAGAGAGAGAGAGAGAGAGAGAGAGAGAGAGAGAGAGAGAGAGAGAGAGAGAGAGAGAGAGAGAGAGAAGAGAGA